AACATTTGTGTTGGTGTGAACAGGTCTTTCAATCCAAACCAATAACAGACCCCCAGATCCATTCCAGATCAGTTCCCAAATCAGAACCTGTCAGTCAATTTTAATAAAGTAAAATATTGAAATACTGAATTATTATGTCACTTAATACAGAGAGACACAGAAATGCATCTAAACCTAATGTCTATTGGTGTGCTGTATTGATGTTTGATGCTTTTTAGATAGGGAGCCTGTGAAATGAATTACAAAAGTGTCAATGTTTGGTCGGTGTCAGCTTCTTTCATATTACTTTTGTGACAGTGTGTTTTATCAGAGGCTTAAAAACACAGTCCTAACCCGTTTCTCAAACCGCTCTGCACAGACTTTCCTTTGGAGCAGCTCTAAAGGTATTAGTAATCAGCCTCCTTATCTCTTCTCACTCCACACACTGCATCTTTATGGGAATTACATCACATACAACACCACTGACAAGCACCAGACTCCTGAGGCTTTCACCTGCCTCACTTTAATATAAATTGATTTTTTTTTCTTCTTGTCATAAGGATTGCAGACTAGATCTAATATATCTGTGGTCCTTCTAGAAAGGGGGGTGACGTGTATTGAATTCGCAGCAAGCCTTTGTTCACTATTACACTCCCACCCTCTCCAAAGTCCAATCCCCAACCTTTTCAATTTCTTTAAGGTGATTGTGGCCAGACGTGTGCTGTTGCATAGGGAGCCCCTCGCTCTATTATAAGATGTGGAATGGAGTTGAAAAAGTAAGCACTTTTTACAATCTACTTTGGAAAGAGTTTTTTTTTTTTTTTTTTTTTTACATACGTACACTGTATAAAAAAATATATTCAAGATTTGTTATCACATTTTTTCTTTTGTCAAAATCAACTTAAATAATTAATTTAGTTGAGATAACTTATTATTTTGAGTTTCTGATGATTAAATTAATCTCCTTCATTGTATTAACTCACTTTTTTCCAGTTCAATCAACTTAAAATTTTAAGGCAACCAGGTTACTTACTTTTTTAAGTTAAACCAACATTTTTTTTTTTTTTTTTTACTGTGAGGGGTCCAAAAATCTGAGGCCAATGCTTAAATTTGACATTTTTCATTGTTTTATTAAACATTTTTCAAACTCTTAAAACTCTGTTTATTTGCAATTTTAAATAAATAATGTTATCCCAGAATTTCAATATGGTCTCATGACTTAATTTTTCTATCTCCATTTCTAGCTTTATGGGGTGCTTTATCAACTGAAATGTGTAACCTAAAATGCAAACAGCTCCCAAAGTTACCAGCTGCAGTGTTTGACATTTGAGAGCTATCTCACTGCATCAACATAGAGACTTCTTTGAATTTTGATCCTTAAAGGTACATTAGGCATCACAAAGAGCAGCAGTTCACATCGGTTAATGTTTTTGTTTTGGCAGAACAAACTACAATGCTATTGTGGATCTGCCAGATCTCCTTTATCCACATCATATCAAGAGACCGTCCTTTGGGTTTGCATTGATTTATCACATAAATGGATTCATAGAAAAGGGGCTTATTTCAGGCCTTCCGATTAGAATAGAATCTTTAAAGTTCCATTTAGTTTGAATTGAGATATAATAAAATCTTTATAGCTCTAAAAAAAAAAAAAACATTTACCATAAGGCTTATATTAGGTTGTCGAAATAGAGCATACTGTATACCGCCGCATGACCAACGCTGGTGTAGAATGTTGTGTTGTGGTTTGCTGCTACTGTGTGCAGAAAGCATTCTAATAACATGATATATTGCATTTGAGGCAACAGTTATAGCATTTCATTAGTCTGTGCTTTTACACCTTTGTGATACACTCACAAGCTGTGGAGTTTTGCCATTAGTGATCCCATCTCAATTCCAGCAGCTCCAGAATCTGTGAAAACATCACTTAGCTGCCGAAGGGGAGGTTTTTCAAGTGCTCTTTGCATCAGATATGAAATTTTCTTCAGCACGCAGGAGCGGCTTACACCACAGTCAGTCTTAACATACTATTAGAGTCTAAGCCCGTCAATGTATGATTGTTGAATTAGTGAAAGCGGCAAATGTTCAGAAGATGCCATCACACTTTAAAATTGCTTACCAACCTCACATCTATACTATACCGTATTGACAATAGCATATTGTTGACTATAGTACTATTTGAAGTTGGAGTGCTAGTAAATACATGTGAATTTAAATATGATAATCTTACATAGTATACATCAGAGTACCACAATATTCCCATCTGATACCATCACAGTACAATGCCTTATAGGTTTTTTGTTTTGAGGACTAATTTATGCTTTTCTGCAGATATAGCATAATTATGCTATACTGTAAGTTGCAAGAGCCTTTCCTCATTCTTCGTTTTTCATGTGACATCTGTTTCGGTCTTTAATTTATTAATGTTCCTAAAGTTACAGGGTCTGACAGATTTGTCATTAAAGGTAAATATTGACTGTTTGACTTAACATGGGGCTCTTGAAGCCACATTATGAATAGAGGTCATTTGACTGATTGATAACAGAGACAGTCATAAAGAGCATTTCTAATCACTGTTAGTCCTATTGAGCTGTTCATAGTTTAATGTCTACTGCTTCAGTAAAAAGAGAGAGTCTGTAGAGTACAGGGGGGCTCCCACTAGTAACAATAGTAGACTTGACTTGTAGAAATTTGTACACCACCAACTGCCATCACAACAAAGCCATTTTTTTTCATTTCATTTTCATTTATTTATTTATTTCAACAGGGACAATGTGCAAAAAAACATTAATTAAAGATGCTTTGCACCAGATTTAGCTTAAGCTAGTTTCCATCTGCAGTCCCCGAGCTGGTGAATTACAATACAAAATATACAATATAAAATGTTATAATTAGTCACTCAAATACAACTATCAATTAATTAATTCATCCATTCTCTATTTCAACCATCAATAAAACCTCACTAAAATAGACCACACTGCTGTGAGAAAAGATGTGCATATCAAAGGTGAAGTAGGTTTTTTTTCCTGCTAAAGTACTTTCTTCTATTCCAGCATAATAGGGTGTGCTGGCATATATTTCATACCTCACGTTATACAAACAAAACAGAGAAATGCACTGACAGACTTGGAATGTACACATGTACAGTATCTGCCCCTTATACTATTATTGTGATGTATGTTATATTATTTACTGAATCTGAAATTTGAGTCAAAGTAAATTCTGTGGTGATCAACAACAGAAGCTATAGGAATAGAAGAAAGTGATTCATATTGCTCATCTGCCATGGTCATGAGTTGGTTTGTGTGTTCCCAGAGAATCAGGGTGATAATGGCGCAGTGGACAGGACACATGCCTTTGTTGTGAGAGACCCGGGTTCGAATCCACTGTGAGACACCAATGTGTCCCTGAGCAAGACACTTAACCCCTAGTTGCTCCAGAGGCGTGCGACCTCTGAAATATATAGCAATTGTAAGTCGCTTTGGATAAAAGCGTCAGCTAAATGAGTACGTGTAAATGAATCAGATTAAACATATGCCCCAAATGCATTAAGTCCGGTCTACTACATTTAGCATAGATTTTTTCCCCAAATTTCAGTCTGTACGAGTCCGAAAGTCAGACTCAGTCAGATTTGACTGAAAATTGTGTAGTGTGTAATGAGCACAGTCATAGAATATAAAACATATTTTACATTTTAAACCAATTTTATTAGACACATTGTTTTTATTTGTAATGCGTATCCTGTTGCATTCGGGGAGACTTGATTGCCTGCCATGTGTGATCCTCAGTCGGAAAGTGTATAATGCCCAGCCTTCAGTCGCTTCAGACAAAAGCATCTGGATAATGCGTAATGTTTATGGTTTTGCAATTTTGTTTGGTGCCACTAATGGTGATGATTTAATCCTAATGTTTATATAATGTTTCACTGTTGTTCTTGGTGCTATGCAAACTACTGAAGTTATACTGCACCTTTTCACTTTTTTGAATCCTTCCGCACCTGTCGCAGACTAATAACATACCCAGACATTCACTTCCCATCCATCAAGAGCAGCTTGAACCTGCTTCTGTCTACCTGAACAAAATGTACTTCTCCTCTGCAGCCCTCACGCAGGGCAGAATTAGCATGTATAGTCTCTGTTGATCAACCCTTGTGATGACTCACTGCACTGCCTCCACAAAATAGCTGTGCCAGTGTCATTTAACCCAAAGCTGTTATTTGCCCTGTTCACCGAGCACTTACCGCCCCCATTTTAATGGGAAGCAAACCACAACATAGCAAACAGCCTCACTTTCAGACTAATAAATCCCAACTTTTGACACATTTTAGTGCATTTGAAGGTGTGTTATTTACATATTAGCTGCCTAATATTTTGGCTTTGGGATTTGTAGCTGCAGAGGGTTGGTAAACGCTGTACATTTTTGCAAGAGAAGTGCCTGCAATTTGTTTTACCATAGCACCAAGCAGAATCGCTGAAATAACGATTGTTTTGAAACAGAGAAGCCTGCGTGTTGCGATCTCTGGAAAAAAAAGGACAAATTAGCCATTAAAGATGCTCTTGCAGTTTTGGAGTTGTGGCTGTGGAAGGTTTAAATGGATTCTGGGTGTCCTCTGTGTGTAGGCAGAGGGCTTTAGCCACTGATTGATATGACCCAACCTAAACCTTCAGCAATCAGCAGCTCATTATCTCAGCGAAATTACTACATCATCCAGCCCAAACGTCTGTAATGAGCTAGCATGAAGAATCAGGGCTCTGATCCACCGTCATCTCCCTCATCTTTGTCTGCAGTCTCTCTTTCTCTATCTCTCGGTGAAACTTGTTTTTCCCCTATTCCCTCCTGTCACACAGTCATCGGTTATACTCTAGGTGCTCTGACTTTCTCACTCTTAAGTTCTTTCTTTTTAAGGTCACTCACTCCTGAATTCACAGACGATGGATTTTACACTCTGTGCCCTTGCCTTTAAGTCTTCTCCATAGAGGCCCAAAGTTTTCCAATACATCTTCTCTGTTTGTTTCCTGCAGGGTCCCATTGTGAACGATGTGGTCATTCATGTGGCCCTGATAGCAGAAAGTCAAAGGTAAATACATTTCTCATGTCTCTCTCTCTCTCTCTCTGGTCTAATTAATGCCTTCACATTAATTATTGGGCTATTCTGTAGCCTTCATCTATCAGCACTCTCATTTAAAGCTTTTCTGGGCAGAGGAAGTGGTGATAGAGGTCATGTGGCCAGCTGGTCCCAGCCAGACCCACTCTGCAGTTCATTTAACATTGTTCACCCCAGCACTTAACCCACCTTTCCCCTTCTTCACACTGCAAACCTTAATCAGGTTTACTGGTCCAACTCAACCATCATTCCTTCATTTAAAGCATCAAATTCCACTTAACACCTTACCTTCCCTGCAAAGCTAAAAATAATGTTGTTAAAATATTATAGTGTATGCTGTTCTGGTTGCTTGTAAACATACAATTCCATTGAACCCCTCAGCATGAGAAGTACTTGCAAAGCACTCGTTTATGTATTCACTGTGTCATGCAAGATTGTTTCCCCATGGCCCTTATGGATACTTTACATCAATGTTTGATGGCAAATCCTACATAACCACTTTACGATGCATATTAACTAGGGAAATATGACAATAAATGTCTTTTAAATTGCTACATAATTTTACTGAAGATAAAATGGTCAATTGGACCCTTTTTCAACTGAACGGAAATAGTGGTGAACAGAAATACAACAAATAAAATGGTTGCATTCTCATTTACTCCAAGAGCAAAAGAAAAAAAAAATCAAAATAACGTGACTGACTTTACGAAAGAGGAAAAAATTATAGAGTGGTTATGTTTGTCAGAAGAGTGAAATGCAGTCCTTCAGCATTTGTATTAGATCCATTCGAAGCAATGACTAGTTTTATATAATTTAATTTGTAGGTTATTTAAAACTTAGCTTTATAATTTTACTTTTACATTTAAAAAAAATGTAAATCTATAGCCAATTAATACCCATGGAAACATGTTATCACAGTCTGTGGTCAATTAAACATTCTGTATTTACTCTTCTTCACTACATTAGCCTACCATTAACTAATAGTCTGCTAGCCTAGTGCACCATGCAGGATACACATTTTTTTTTTTTTTTTTTTTTTTTTTTTTTTTTTTAGATGCAAAATAGAGTGATCCAGGGATGATGTCGAAACCCGGACGAATAATCTGCCAGTGGTTCGTTTGAGACTTTCCTATGGGTTTTTACTATAGGATTTGTCCATTGATGAGTAAAATAAGGTCTGTGGTAAGCATAACTTGATGATACTTTGTTGTTTCTACTGCGTAAACGAAACACACCCATATAGAAAACGAAAATTTTGAAGCTGTTTAAAACGTGTTTTTAATAAGTAATACGTGTGAGTGTGTGCAGTTTACTTTGAAGAAGTACCCATAAATAGAAAAACCCCATTATAAAAACTTATAGGAATATTTTGAGGTAACCACTGGTGAATTAGTGTTTTGACATTATCCCATAAATTAGCACTCTAGATTTAGTTTTTTAATCATAAAAAAGATTACATTTATTTCTATTATTTTCCAGTTGAAGGGTAAGGGTTGGGGTTCATATAATATTAGGTATAATGCCACATTAAAGACGAATTGGATGTAATTATTTTTAATAGTTAATAGTAAAAAAAAAAGGATTATGTTTTCTTGAACTAGAACCAGATGTCGCTATAATGTGATTCGTTTTTGAACAGGGTAATAGAATGTGCCACAACAATAGAATTGCAATGGCATTATTATTTTTAAACACATGGGAGCACGCAGGTGGTGATATCAAGAAAATAAGCCAGAAAAAAATAAATGATAACCTCTACTGGCTTCTATAAGCTTGTCATTGTTTTTTTCCTTTGATTCCACTAATGTTGCCAAAATGACACACCTTATCTTTAGTTGTGTTTAATGTTTGATTGTCTCTGTCTTGCTTGTGTCTTTCAGATTGCAGGTCTTCCTCAACACCTATGGCATTCAAACTCAGACCCCACAGCAGGTGGAGCCCATTCAGATCTGGCCTCAGAAAGAGCTGGTGAAGGTAGCCCGTTTCAATCAATCAAACTGACCACCAAACATATTTTCCAGACTGATCCATTTCTGTGGCAGGCGCTCCATTAAACCATTCGCCAGTTTATCAAGGGGGTTGGATTGACTGGCACATCCCTCATGTCAGTTACTGATTTATTTTTGCTTTCTCTTTAAGATTTACACCATGGTTCGAACCTCACTCGTGCACTATTGATGAAATTAGTTTGACAAAAGACTTACAAACGTACTAGCAAAAGAGTGACAATATATCAATAGAAAGCAGCGTTCATTTTTCTGACCAACCTGGTCTAAACTGGTCATCAGATTATTAGATTATTATCTTTTGCTAAATGTTTTTTGTGCTCATTCTGTCTGTAATCGTCAGAGCATGGAGCAATATGTGCGAGAGTGTTTACGTGTTTGTTCTTCTGTCTGTGGGTGTGTGTGTGGGTGGTAAGGTTTTGTCACCGGAACGTGCAATTTATTGCAGTTTGGTTTAAAAGCTGTTTGAAATCAGACACCCAACAGTATCTGCTTCTCTCGACACTGTTCTATCTGTGGTCGGTTGTGTGTGTGTGTGTGTGTGTGCACTCAAGTGTGCATTAGAGGGAGCGATAGTTTGCTGAGTATAAGGATGCTAGGAGCAGCCTACTTTAGATCAGCTGCAGAACCTTCATTGCTGTCACTTTTCATGGTAAAAGATGCAATATACATATAATTCCTTAAATAATTTAATTTTGTAATTATTCATTTGTATTCATTTCCAATACCGTGTTCAGCTACCATTTCTCCAGTCTTCCATATCACACAATCCTTCAGAAATCTTTCTAATATTTTCTGTTCTGTTTATCTATTATTATCAACGTTGAAATATCTTTTTAATGATTCTTTGATGCATAGGATGTTTTGAACAGTAGTGTAGTTATTATCAAATCTATCTGTTAATTATTCATTCAATCAATTCTTTTAAACCATAAATAAGTAAATCAAACAGCATTCATGGTTAACTTATTGAGCAGCTTGACTCAAAACAAAATATGTCCAAAATCTGAATAAATTACACATGGAAATCTAGCAACGCGTCCATACTGGAACACTCCAGTCCTGCTGTAATCAATAAATCTTTCTTACTGTGCAAAAGCCAATCAGAGTTTTGGGATCTGGAGAACTCCCCCATTATAATAATTGAAGCTGTCTATACTTGCTTATTTACTCTGTCTTTACCTTTTTCATTATATTGTTGATAATAATCTCTCACTTACAATGCATATTGGCTATTACTCAGACTCATGGTAAGTGGTGCAACATGCAAATCTAAAATCGTTCTAAATTACGGTCTATGGATTTACTTTGGTTGTAAAGCTTTGGTTGGAGTGTCAGGTGATCTCCAGCACTCATTATTGTGTGCCACAACAAAGATTGAAAGTAATACATCCATGGATTTGCTTAGTTGTCTTTACCAATAACCTGTAAACTACTTGAAATCAATCTGATCTGCCATTGTATTCATGCACAAATGTCTGTAATTGGTTACAAAACTCATTTTTTAGCCAAATTACATTGTAAATGAAACATTTTGACACAGTGAGAGTTTATCAAAAAGCCCTCACCACATTACTGATATTCTTAAATAATCATGTCCAATACAAGCGCAGATAAGAGAGCAGTTCATATAGGTTGACGTGCTGTTTCTAATTCAAGCGGCAAGGCTACTGAAAGTAAGTGATACGAGCGTGACGGTCTTAATTGTTGAATCCTGCGTATTAAAGAGGTTTGTTTCAACATCAGCACTGTGGCTTCACTGCCCCTCTTGATGTGCTACAGGCTTAGCATGCGTGACATTTGCAGGTTTCGTGTCAGACATGTTGAGCTTTTGATTAGAGGCAGAGCGCTCTCGATTCGGTTGTGTCTTCCCCTCATTGCTATTCTGCACACAAATTTTCCAAGGTACAGAGATCCACAATGAGAGAAAAAAAGAGTTCTGGAGCATAAATCTCTCTCAAAAATGTTTTGACTACTGGATTTCATCTAAATTAGCATCTATTTTCCTGTTTCGGTTGGATATGAGCTGGATTCTCCTCGGCAGGGGCTTATTGTTCTGTTTTTTTTCTTTTCTTTTCGTCGTGTTGTGCAGTACACTCTTGTATTGGAGTGTTATTCTGAGGATGTCAGACTGCAAGAGGTCAGAGAGAAATAGAGCTCCATCTATTGTCGTAAAGGTGTCGGCACACTCTTTGTACTCTCTGCACTGGAATATAATTAATAGTGAGGCAAGCGTCACCATATGCAGGGAGGGAGGTTTGTTCTTAGACTGTTAGGTTGCTAAGCTTCAGGAGAAGTGAACTATTACTTTTCTGAGAAATCAGTCTTGTGATTTATACTTGGCAGACAAATCCCATAGATTTAGATTGAAGGGCACACCTGAGCTTTGATGAGGCCATAGATCTCCTAGTGAGTGGATATTGGTGAAATAGGGTGGCAGGGAGGCAGGAATACAATTCTGTGGCTTGAATAAATCATGCGAATTACTGCTGTACTGTTCGGTGTTTTGCCCTGGCTGACATTGTATTTGTTGCCATTTTTAAGGTGTGTGTGTGTCGTGACTTCAGCTCTGCCTTTAAACATGTGGTTGATGAGTGTCACTGGCAAAGTGGTTTATGTGTTGGATGGGAAAGTCACATTGACTCATACTTCTGTTTAATCTCCTTGCACTGTTTTGTTCTGCTGAGACTCTTTACCGATTACTCTTTTACTCAACTTGCATGTAATTGTTACTGGGAGAGGACTAATCCAGCTAAAATTGAGACTGAATCACACTTACACTGTTTAAAAATATCGGGTTTGTTTGTTTAATTGTTTGTTTGAAATAAATCAATATACTTTAATTCAGCAAGGACACAAAAAATGATCAGAAGTGACAAAATTCTTGATTATACATTTTTTTTATAATCATATAATATTTAATACATATTTAAAATGTGTATTTTAAATAAATGTTGTTCTTCAAACTTTCTCTTCATTATTAGAATCCTACAAAAAAAAACACCTTCAGACTTTTCATTCTTTATTAAGCAGCATCCCCCATTTTCAACTAATAGATGGAACGCATTGAATGTCACTTTCCTGCCAGAACACGCTCCCAGAACACGTTCCCAGCTGCTGCGTGGCTGGAAACTGTGAAAATGCGAGTAAAATTATTATCAGTTTAAACTAAAAGTTGGACCCGATATAGTGTTCCTTACAACTTACCAAAGATCCAGTGATCCATGGATATTGAAATGCAGCCAGGAATCGTGTTTCCTGACATTTTAATGTGTCTGATTTTGACGCCGGGGAAATAAATTAAGAAAATTTGCCTGTAAACATTTTATATAAATACAATATGGTCGGTCTAAATCCGAGTGATCGCTTACATTAATGTTATACTGTATATCATCATATTATCCAGCCCTAAAACTTGTATAGTTTTTTGTCAGTGTTTTAAAAACATCCAATTATGCAAAATATAGTCTGTTCTGTTGCTTTTTGCAGTAAAAATCTAGTTGTACAGTCAATCGTAAAGCTCTTTCCTGTTTTTGTGTTTTGTGTTTTTCACTGCATTCACGCTAAAAACGAATGCTGCCTGCTTCTGTCTTTTTGCCACTTAGTGGGCGTGACCGCATTCACTCCGGCTGATGGTGACGTCATGCGCATATCCTCTATGATGCATGTCTCATGACCAAAATAAATTGCTTAAATGTAAGAAATGACCCCAATTCTTTGAATGGTAGCATATCTGTCTGGATCAGTTGACTTTGTGACGCTAAAAATAGAGTACATTTGGAGGTGGAACATTTTTTTTCTAGCTATCTATGCAAAATGGGATGAATCTTATTAGACTTGTGCACAGTTGCATCATGGTGAGCTTTTGATAAAGCACAGTTTTGCATTTTCTTCAGAAAATGCATTAATCTGGTTATTCCTACAATTTTGTACAGCAAAGTGTAATGATTGAAAAATCTAGGCTAGAAAGCGAAAGTAACCAAGAAACCATGAACTTTACACCACTTAACACCAGTTTGCTCTAAGTGAACAGAGACTCTAAGTGTACTGCAAGCTGAGATTTATTAAAGTATGAGCTAAATGATAAATTAGTGATGCAGAAGAGAGCAGCTTTCTTGAGGTCACAAGGAAGTGTTGTGAAAGTGTTACGCTCAAATAATGGCTTAATTACTCTGATCTCTGTCTTAATTATTGTCTCTAAGATCTTGTGAAAAATATCACTGCAGTACACTGAAACCAACTTAAAACTGCCAGGTAAACTGTCTGGTCTGGCTCATTCTGATTCATCTTTGTCACACTATCCCCGGTTTCCATAGACAAGGCAAAAGCTAGTCCCAGACTAAAATGCATGTTTGAGCTGTTTTAACTGAAAGAAACTTGCACAAACACGTGCAACAACAAACTTGACCTTTTCTCAAGGGAAATAACCAGACTTTCAGAATCAGCCACTGAACAAAACATGCATGTTATGAATTAAACCGCATGGTGCCTGTACAATAATGGCTCAGATAATACCTTTTACACACATAATGGACACACACAGGCATTCTAGTCCTTAATGAGTGTGAGATATATATATATATATATATATATATATATATATATATTAATGTGTGTCTGTCTCTATTTTTCAAGGCATACCGCTTCCTTGCCATTAATAAGAAGCTTGGTTTGAGTGGGAGACCGGAGAGGCCCGTTGGCTGCATTGGCACTTGCAAGGTAAACCATGTTCTCTGTGCTGTAGCAAACTCTCCTGAGAGGAAATGCAAACATTTCCTCATCTACTCTTCAGCTCCTGCTCATTACAGTTCTTTGTGATTTCTCCTTATAATAACTCAGAAGCTCAGAGTACACAGTGCCTATGATAATTAAATATTATTCCAACTCTCCTTTAAAGGAATAGTTCACTGTTATTATGTTCTCAGTCTCATGTCGTTACACACTTGTATGGTGCAATTCTAACTCTAAAAGACAAAACAATTTTTTTCATAATTCTTTATAAAGATCTTTTCCATACTGCAACAGTTCATAGTGACCACATCTGCTAATCTCCAAAAATGGCAAAATAGCCACCAAAAACATTTTAAAAGTCATGTATATCATTGATGACTCATAATCTTGCTCCAGTGAGCTGTTCTTTTCAGGGAACCAGATAATACGGTTGACTTTTTGTACTGGATGAAACATTCACGTGTCTGACTGATTTGTTCACAAAAGATCTGGTTGTAACAGTTTGCAAGTTCCTGAATTAAAGAGCCCCTATCATAGCATTTGAAATGTTCCTATTTTTGTTTTAGGAGTTCCCAAAAACAGTTTAACATGCATGCAAGGATAAAAAAACACTTTATTTGTCTTATAATATGCATTTATTTTTAACTGATTTGCTCACCGACTCCCAAATGATTCGTACAACGACTCATTTTTCCAAACCACTCCTTTGCGCGTGACGCTAATCAGCGGTGATTGGTCAGATGACAGACCCAGTCAGTTATTGTTTGTTAGCATAACGCATAAACATATTGATAAAGCACTGCAGTACTACAAGACGCTCGATTCTTTATGACAACTCCAATAACAGCGACAAACATTTCACATATTTTAAAAAGAATTGACATTGGAGACCTAGAAGCTGCGCTGAGCGTAACTTACACACGCACACACATAGTGCGCCTTCCCTCCTCGCGCCTGACGCTACAAAATCGTTCAAAACCCATAAAAGCAACAATTATTAATAATACTTACAGGTTGTGATTCATAGGCGGAAGCTGATCCATATACACTGGGTAAGTAAGTTACTGAGCCCTCCTTCAGGAACAACCGCTTGTGAATCCACATTTGAATTCATAATTAAAATGACGAGAACACAATCGGTCTATACTGTTGTGGTATCGTTGCAAATATGAACTCTAACCACCGATTCTTCACATGCTCGTCCCTGGTAAATGAAAACAAAGTGGCTGAACTATCTTTGCATTGTAGAACACAGTGTCTTCTCGACATGATGCTATGATGAAGTATTTGAATGTGTAGACTTCAAGTTTACACTTCCGTCTGCGCGCGCAGTAACTGGGCGCGGCCAGTATGTCTCTACGTCACGACAAACCAGCTAATGACTCGTTTCAAAAACAATTCATTTCATAGACTCTGAGTCGACTCTCACATTTGAAAGACAATAACTTTATATACGGTGCACTTTCAGATATAAATCTTTGCAGGATGTTTTCATTCCCTTAGAGCTATATTCCACACCATATGAACAGTCGTTTTCAAAAATCCATGATAGGGGCTCTTTAACATATTACTATGATAGAAGATTAATGACTTAAAGGAGAACTCCGGTGCAAAATTAACCTTTGGTCTAATAAAACATTGGTACCTACCTAGTCAACCATTCTCTGAGATTTGTTTTCATGATAATCGAATGTAAAGAGTTTTATCTCTAAAAACTGTTTAGATTATAACGCTAGTTTATGGGGGCATAATAAGTAAAAAGAACTCACTAGTTAATACCACTAACAAGGCTCAAAATAGCCCCACACAGTAACATAATGAGCGTGCCTACATGCAAAATGAAGCATTGAGAACTTTGTAAGTGTACAAACCGTTTAATAAGAAGATACTTTATAAAGACAGTGCACTTCTTGTATACAGACAGGAGCCATCTTTGGTGATTTCGTTTTACTTATTAAATGCCCCCATTACTAGCGCTATACACTAAACAGTTTTTAGAGATCAAACTCTTTACATTTGATTATCATGAAAACAAATCTCAGAGAACAGTTGACTAGGTACCAATGTATTATTAAAGGTTCATTTTGTGCCGGAGTTCTCCTTTAAATTTCAGTCTGTTTTCTCAAAAAGCCATTGTAGGGTTTTTAGCCCATGATTTACTCACCCTCAAGTCATTCTTCTTTCAGACGAAAACAATCGGAGTTATATTAAAATGTCCTGGCTCTTCCAAGCTTTATAATGGCAGTGAATGGCTGTTCATAAAAGTGCATCAATCCATGATAAAATTGCTCCACACGACACTCAGGGGTTAATAAATGCCTTCTGAAGCGAAGTGATGCGTAAAATATTCATATTTAACATGTTAAAAAGTAAAATTCTAGTTTCCTGCCAAATGGCCATACTCAATCTACTTCCTAGTCCATCATTACTAGATATTTTAATTTATAAAGTTCTAAAATATAAATATTTTTTCTTACACAAACGCATTATGCACTTTATGGACTTCAAAACAGAAACTACCATTAAACTTGGAAGAGTCAGGACATTTTTTTTAATATAAATCCTATGTGTATATGAAGAATGTCATATAAACCTAGGATGACTAAACAATAGGCTAATCCCTTTAAGAAGACTTGGAAAATGGCACTCGATTTAGATATGAAGTACTTTTATGAGTCTTCTGTTGTCATTTTTTACCCTAACAGCCACTTGTCATAAAGATTCTTCAAAACATCTCTTTTTTTGTTCCCTTTTTTTGTTCCCGTTTTTGTTTGTAACAGCATGAGTGTAAATGCACACAAACTTAAATTATGTCAAGAGGTGTAGATGATGGATTACAAGTCTTATTGTTCGGTTCCAAAACTGCTGAGCTTCACTGCCTGCTGGCAGTTTAAGCATGATGACATTTTGGGGAAGATAAAAATAGGAGCTCCAGAGTAATGATTTTCTGTAGTTGATGGAGAATTGATTATGTTTAGTAGTATGTTTAGTATCTCACATCACTTCTCACATAAATACAGAGTAAATTAGAGGGATCTTTATGTGTATGACTGTTCAGAATGGATGGTATGTTTTATTTGCTGTCTGAGGTAAAGCAAATGTCTAGATCTAACAGTCATCCATATAGTTGCAGGTAACGTAATGGGTCATTTCTCTCCCCCTCAGATTTATCGAATACTTGGAAAGACTGTGGTCTGCTATCCAATTGTCTTCGATCTCAGTGACTTCTACTTGTCCCAGGATGTCATGCTTTTGATAGATGATATTAAGGTGAGATATCACACCTCACTGGTTCCTCAGATGATGTTAGAAGAGGGTTCACTTTGTGTTTTATATTTTGTCTATCATTCTATAAAAAGAAATAGTCAAATTTAGGGCAGAAAATGGGCAATGGACAGAAACGTCAGCTATAAATCATCAGTGTCCACCCTCGGAGTTACACATTGTGGTTCTCCTGCTCTGTGCTCTCTGTACTGTGCTTGTATGTTTATGCTGCAAAGTTCCAGCAATCTCTTATAATGCGGTTGTAATCACATGCGTTTTACAGAATGCCTTGCAGTTTATTAAGCAGTACTGGAAGATGTCAGGCCGGCCTCTCTTCCTGGTCCTTATCAGAGAGGACAACATTAAGTAAGAGGCTCTCCAATCAGCCAGAACCTTGTTTTGTTTATGAGAGGTACCGTAATGTCATCTCTTTCTTGCCAGGGGCAGCCGCTTCAACCCCATCCTGGACATGCTGGCATCTTTTAAGAAGGGAAACATTGGAGGAGTCAAAGTTCATGTGGACAGACTTCAGGTGCTGCTTTTTATAAAAATGATTTAATATGTAAAGCGTCAAATTGACTTCCAAAACCAGCCTTTTTCCACATCTTACAAAGACATGAGAATGCATTATTAAAGTAATATTAAGGCATATTTCTTTCACTGAATTGTTTCATATTATGCAATAAAAGTTTATATTCTGAGGAATCTGAGTGCATACGTCACCATAGAGGGAAGTCTTGTCGTTTCACCAGAAGTTGGAGTTACGAAATTTTGATTCAAAATTATGAGATAAAAAAAATTCAGGCTTTGACAGTTACATGCTGTCAGAAAAAATGATGTGGATGTCGAAGATCTCAAAAATGAAGTTTATTACAGCATAGCAGTGACAAGGTACACAGAGCACCTTGAGTTCACTGGTGTCCTTTTATCCTGTTACAGTTGACCTCTCTTAATGTAAATGAAGTTGTTCTTGTTGCAACAGCTGTGTTCTGTATGTTAATGAAACACTTCATTTTTCTGATAAGGTTCTCGGTGTCCCACACCCTTTCCCATTGTACAATTGACTACCATTTGTTCAGTGATCAACCCAAATGGTGAATTAAGCCATTTTGGGGATGAGCTTATTCTAAGATATATTTTGGAGTAGAATCTGGATAAGGCAGACTACAATTTCTTACAATACTTTTAGACAATAAATTGCGTGATTTTTCATTTCATGCCAACTTGGGTAATTCAGTTGAACAATGATCCAGATCAGTTCATAGTGGCTGAAATGAAAGAAAAAAAAGACAAGTTTTAGAGAGGTCTAGTCAAAGTCCAGATTCTGAATCAAAGAAGGATGACATGCAGTAGCAGGACCTTACACAAAAGAGATTACAGCCCAGAAAGTACTGTGTAATTAAGAGGAATGTACAGTGTAACTTTGGTGTACCTATAAAGTACTTGCATGTAAGCATAAGGGAACAATATGTAAAGTTTGGGGAATAAAGGGGTAACAACCAGGAGAATTATAAAAAATATATATTTATACTGTATTATACTATTATGATACAACAATCTTATATTTGGGTGCAATTTAGCGAGAACATACACTGTGTATCTTTTGTAATAATTGTGTACCAATACATACTGTATAGGCTTTTTAAAAATGACAGGGTACATATCTATACATTTATACACCTTTTTTTATAGCAAAAGTGCAGATGTTTAAGTTTGGGCCTACATATATTTTAAATACTGGGAAATATATCTTGTTTGATGTGGTTACAGGGTAAGTGGTGCTTGTATAATAAATAAAGGTTTCTGAGTCAGTGATATAAGATTGTGTATGCATTTTTATTGTACTTACCCTGAAACTACATGGAACAAGAGGGTAACAAGCACCACTTACCTGGAACAAGAGTATTTTCCCCAATATTTAAGCAAAAGTTGCTATAGTTTTTGGTTTTAGTGCACTTTTGTTAAAAAGATGCACTGGTTCACTATTTTTTCAAAAAGGTATGCAGTGTATGTTCTCGCTAAATTGCTCCCAAATGTTAGATTGTTGTATCATAAAAGTAGAATAAGAACCCCTTAGTTCTATAATACTTACAGTATACATTATTTTTTTTTAATTCTCCTGGTTGTTACTCCTTTATTCCCCAAATGTAAAATATTGTTCCCTTATTGTAAGTATGTTATATGTACACTATAATTACCAAAGGTTACGCTGTAAAATCGCTTTAATTACGCAGTACTTTCCGCGCTGTAATCTAAAGCGTTACCGCTATTTTCACTAAAATAACAAATTTTGTGTTGTTTAACGTGTATTGTGCAAATGCATTGCGTCTTTACTCAGGTTCCCTTTGTGCAATATTTTGTACACACATTTGCATCCACAGAGTTCGGCATAATAGAGAATTTTAAGATGGGGGACAAATACTTATTTGCTGTAATGTAGTTGCTTAGTGTGTTGAATAACAGTCATTTAGAACATATTGTAATATAATCTAATATTGCATGATGTATCTACTGTAAAGGCCTTTGTATTCCCTTTGGTCTATCAGGGTTTTTTTTAAAGTGTGGGGCACGCAGGGGAGGCACAGGTGAAATGACAATGTCAATCGATAGGGATTTTTCAATGTAGTTTATCTGTGTGTAAATGCATGTGTGGGCTGCTTAAACGCAATTGAGCAGCAAAGAAATCATTTAATAAGAAAAAGAGCTTGAAAGGTCAAATACACACATTTATGTCAAAATGCCCGTTTTGGTGAGCATTCACGTAACATTGTCAGTTAGGTGAAAGTAAACAGTTAAGCGGAATTATCATTATCTTAAAGTGACATCAGCCTCATATAGGCCTACCTGCTACAACAAAAGAAAAAGAAAATCATTCACTGCTCTTGACTAACTAACTTCTAATGTAACATTCTTTGTGGAAACTTTATAGACCCTGATATCAGGCGCTGTGGTGGAGCAACTGGATTTCCTTCGTGTCAATGAAGCTGAGTATGATTTAACCTTCATTTGCACCTTCACCTTTGTTCAATATGATACACTTTTGAAGGAACGAAATTGGAAGGAAATTGTCTTTACAGTTTCTAAGGCATGCAGCAGATTCATAATCCATTACTTTTTTCCATAATACATTCCTCTGGCTAGGATCCCAGAGTTTAAGAGCTTCGAGGAGCTGGAGTTGCCCAAGCATTCGAAGGTGAAGCGTCAAACCAGCACACCGAACGTCTCTGACCTGGAGCAGCAGCCTGAGATCAACGTCGAGGAATGGTTCCAGAAGTCCACATCTGAGATTCTGCAGAAATTCAATGTGAGCCTAACTATCCTGCCTGGGTGTGATTATGAGTTTAATATAGGTGCTCTTATATAACTCATATTCTGTTATCAGGACTGTGACTGTTTGGCCAGTCAAGCCCAGCTGGCCAGTATTCTGCTCAAAAAAGAAGGCCCAGACTTCTTTGATAAAAATGGTATGTGGTTAAATTCACCCAATGAGTACATAATTCATGAGACATTTATTATTATTTCAGTAAAACATGTCTCTACCTCTGAAATGTCAGGTATTTTTACTAAAGTTTTAACGATTAAGTGTAAGGCCAGAGTATTTCAGTGCCATTGAAATGGTGAGCTTTTAAAAAAAAAAATCTACAGGACACGTCTTACTGCATGGCTGCTTTTAAAGCTCATCTGAATGAAATGTCCACAGCTGTAATCCATTTAGTGCCTTCATGGATAAGCAAGTGGGTCGGCAATGCTTGCTCACACCCTTGTTGTGGTCTTAATTCCCGTAGCTACAGTTTATCTCATAGCTCAAGACTGTTCACACTCTTAAATGGACCTATTGAACAAGCGCAGAGCGATTAAATACATGCTTAAATGTGATTTTATGTTGCAAGTCAGAGCTTCCGCACGTGTTCGGGCCTAAATGCTTCAGGGATGTTGTCTTACAGACTACACTAAGGCTGAAAATATATATATATATATATTTGTATGGTTAATTCCCAACCCTTCTGTATGTCCAGAGAATCTCAAGGATGACTTGGAGAGAATCTACAGAAGAGCTGGGAGCAGGAAGCTTTGGTAAGTTTTTTCCTCTTTTCACTGCACTCACCGGAAGCATTTAGAGTTTCACATATTTTCTCATTATAGTTGGGTAAAATGATCAACTCTTGATATATTTATGGCTATTTTGTTTTTTACCATGTGTATTTGTCTAATGTTACGTGCAACTATGCACATACCTATATATTTTTAAACACGCAAACCTCATGTAGGCTGGCGGTGCGTAGTGCTGCGGCCGTTATCCAGAAGTTTCCCGGTTCTATAGCTCCTCATATAACCACTATATTGGTCCATGGCAAGCAGGTAATTGGGCGGTGGGGTAAACGACCTCTGCATGTGTGGTGTAACTGTTGAATCCGTGCTGAAGGATGTTAACTCATGAGCACGCAGCACTCATCATTTTTTGTTGTTTTTCTTTACATCCGCTTAGACAAGCTGTTATTATCATGCACCGAGAAACCATTCAGCTCATTAGTTGTTGTTTTTTTCTTTCTTTTATAATTGTTATTTTATTATTGCGCCTATGGTAATGTTTTTTTGAAGTTGAGCTTTCATAACACAAATTGATGCCTCTTAGCTGGGCTTATCACTGTAACAGTGTCTCATTTGCAATTTGTTTGTGAGCTAAACTCCATTATGTCTCTGCCAGTATAACCTGGAAAAGGAATCCATCAGCTAAACATGAAATTGGTGAAAATAGGTTATCATAGCTCAAATGATGCTGAAGTCATGTATTCAATTTCTAGGGAACACACCTACTGAAAAAACTGCCAAATAAATGTATGAATAAATGGAAATGTGATTTACGAAAGTGTAGGAAGTGTAACAACAACAGCATAGTTTAAATGCCCAATGCCACTTTGAGATGCTGAGCTCTCCTGATTGTTTTCGTCCCAGAGGGCCCAGCTTTAAATATTAATGATTTAAATGCTACAGGGGGTTCAAAATCTTGGAATATAACATCATGTCATTTATTCAAATGAGCGTCATGCTGCATTACAATTAGACTTCAAAATATTTAAAGTTTAAAGAAGATTGGCGGGGTTCACACAGTTCTTGTAACAAGTCTTTTTGGTGATATATTTGAAATGAATCACTACTGAGCTCCAACTATATTTGTCATTGCTTATGAGGCAGCAAGTCTCATATAGACTATCTGTCAAAAAATTTGGGGTCGGTAGGATTTTTAGAAATGTATTTTAAAGAAGTCTCTTATGCTCACCAAGACTGTATTTTATTTGAATGAAGAAACTTTAATAAATAGGATGTAACAGCATTTCTTTGAAATAGAAATCTTATGTAACATTGTAAATGTTTTTACTGTCACTTTTGATTTTATTTTGAATTGAATGTATCCTTTCTGAATAAAAGTAATCTTTCTAAAAAAAAATCTTTCTGACCCCAAACTTTTGAACAGTAGTGTATACATTTTAGTAATAAGCTATGTTTATAATAGACTGTAGTCCAATTCAATTTCTGTTTGGCTCCATTGAATGAGTGAGTATATTTCTGTTGTGTTGTGTTCACCAGGTCCGTTGTGCGCCTTGCTGCCAGTCTCTTAACTAAGCTAGTGGACAGCCTTGCCCCGAGCATTACTAGTGTTTTAGTGCATGGCAAGCAGGTAAGTGAAAAACAGGAACAGGGGCCTAAATAATTGATAAGATATGAACGAACAAGTCAAAAAATGTAATTTTTATGTTCACTGATTATAAGAAGGTTAAAATTAGCTTGAGTTTTTTAATCTTCTCATCAGTTTTATGCCGAAGTCATGATGGACTCCTCTTCCTATTATACAGCAGAATAATAGCTAATTGCATCAGTTGTCACTGGCAAAGCTAACCTGCTTTCATTTGAAGCTTAACTATTCCTTTTGCAGCAAAAATCGCTTTTACCCAGAACGCCTGCAACCATCCCATTGTTCGTGCATTACATTTACCCTCAGTGTATATTTACTGTACCTTTTATTTTCTTTGTGTTGAGACAAACTTTACTTGTGGTGTGGAGTGTTTGTTTAATGAACTGCCATAGTTTCCCAACATAGTCGTGTTTAGCCCCTGGTGGTTGTGAAATGATTCATCAGAGTTGCACACCAGCAGTGAATCTGCATATAAATTGCATCCTAGGGGCCTAATGTTGTGGGTAAGATAAATGGGTACGTTTTGGTTTGAAAATGGGTCATTCTTTGCATACAAGAGCAGTTTGAGCTGACCTGCATGTAGAATCATAGTCTTAGCCTTATTTAATTTAAACAAGCCAAGCCTTTGTCTATGTGCTCCCTGTTTAATGTGTATTTGGGTAAATTGCCGTAGCAGAGCAATGTTGATGTCTGTTGGGAACTGCTGAGGAGGAGATAGCCACCACATACTTAAGCCAGATTCAAAATATATATATATATTTTTTTTATTGCATAGATAACAAAATATTACCAAAGACCAAGTGAGTGGCTTCTGCTAACAAACCACACTAGACTGATTTTTTTATCCTCTAACATTTGAGAACTACAACATACCCAAGTAGATTTTATCTTTTTAAAGCAAACTAACTTTGTATTTGTTAAATTTAGTCTGTCTTTTGATATCTAATACAGTGGTATTCATAAATATCAGAGATGCCCAAGCCAGTGCCCCCAGGCCATAGGTGGCACCTGATGACCTTTGATTTGGCCCGCCATGCGATTATAAGGAAAAATAGGAAAAATCATTGAAATTATAAATATAATTTATATATATATATATATATATATAATGGTTTATCATTTGTTTGGTTTTTAAGATTGATATATATATATATATATATATATATATATGAATAAAATGTGTGTGTGTGTGTTTATAAAATTTAGATATAAAGCAAAATTTACTTTCAGTCCACAGTCTTCAATCTAGATTTTTGCCGTTCATAGTATAAAGTTTGCGTACCTCTGATATATATATGTGTGTGTGACCGCTGTAATAATGCAGTGTTTAATAGAACATCTTGTATAGATCTACACCCCTTATTCATTCATATTATTTGGGAGCTTTTCTTGAAAAGGATAGATGTACTGGAATGTTGTGATTTTGTGATTTATACAAAACACTCTTTTGCCAATTCATAAAAATTGTATTTGACCACTCCTTGCATTGTGTTTTCCTCTTCACGATGACTCGCTTCGTTTAGTCCTCAGTTGTAAGTTACTTTGGATAAAAGCGTCTGCTAAATGTAAATGTCATAACTACACTGTATTTTGTGAATTGTTGGCTAATTTGTATTATTTCTTATAATCTCATTTGTATATATTAATGCTTATGCCTTATTGATGGTTAGAGGACTTTTCAAGCTTACGCTCTTTATAAAAATTGAACATTTCCATACACATCACATAATCACACAAATTCAAGCAAAACCACCACCTGGTAAAATAGTTATTTTTTCTCATGATATCTGGTTGGATTTATAGATTTTAAAAAGAGATAATACTGGTTTGCGTCATTGCAGTACGTTTAAAACCTCTTCAAAGAAATAGAAATGACCAAAATGCTTAGCTGACAAATCATTCATCATGATAGATAGAGACTGACGGCAGTTCTGATTTACCAGGTGACTCTGGGACTGTTTGGCCACGAGGAGATTGTGATCTCTAACCCGCTGTCTCCGGGGGTCATAAAGGACATCATATACAGCAAGTGCAGCCCACACGGCGAGCGAGAGGCCGTGCTGCAGCAAGAGCTGGTCATCCACATTGGCTGGATCATCTCCAACACCCCAGAGCTGTTCAGTGGCATGCTGAAGATCCGTGTGGGGTATGCCTTCTCCTCTCTTTTCAGATAATGAGCTTCACAACATGAGCCTAAATAATAGAAATAACATGTTCACTACTCTTTCTATTGAAATAATGAATATATTGCATTTGGTTCCGCACATTGTTGACACAGGTTTTCTTAACAAACTTTCTTGTCATGCCTATTTTTCAATCAGGTGGATTGTTCAAGCAATGAAACATGAGTTGAAGATTCGTGCTGGGGACATGCCACCTCAGGACATCTACCAGATGTCCCCTAGTGATGTCAAACAGCTCCTGCTGGATGTCCTCCAGCCTCAACAGAATGGCAGGTGCAGGATGCCCACCATCTGTGTGTTTCTGTAGATGCCTGCCAAACGTGAATCATTTTCCGTGTCCATTCGCAACAGTAGTATACAGTTTATGATCATTTATATATTCCTAGTTTTTAATTGAGCTACTAACGATCATTTTTAAATAAGAACCTGATATTCTGACAATGAGCACCATCATCCAAAACTTGGGATCAGTAATATTATTTATTTTTTGAAATAATTTAATACTTTTTTTTTCTGCAAAGATACATTAAATTTATCAAAAGTGACAGACTTTAACATTGTTACTAAAGATTTCTATTTCAAATAAATTCTGTTCTTTGTATTCAAGAATTTGTTCTCAAGTAATCACATCCATAATATATGAATGTCTCTGCATTTATAAAATATAAGAAATGTTTCATGAACACCAAATCAGAATATTAAATGATTTCTGACAGATCTTGTGTGACATTGAAAACTGAGTAATGGCTGCTGAAAATTTACAGAAATAAATGACATTTTAAAATATATTTAAACCGCAAAGTTAATTTAGATTGTAATGATAGTTCACAATATTATTGTTTTCACTCGCTGTATTTTTTAACAAATAAATGCAGCCTAAGCATTAAGGGACTTTTTTCAAAAGCATTAATATCCGAGGCCTGAATTTTGAATGGATGATTTATGTATTATCTCCCAAATGAATGTAGCTGCAGAGTTTTGTCCATTTTAACAATTTGGATGATTTGTTTTGGTCTTCCATGTTTCTGTAGATCGTGGTTTCATAGACGTCAGATAGATGGCTCCCTCAACCGCACCCCTCTCGGCTTCTATGACCGTGTTTGGCAAATCCTAGAGAGAACACGTAATGGCATCATGGTTGGAGGAAAAAATCTCCCTCAGGTTACTCCTCCAAAACCTTTGATCATTTTTTGTAAAAAAAAGTATTGCAGAGAAACTGTAGTTCTAGAGAAATAATGTCCCTGTATTGCATCATTAAAGGACTGCTCACGATATCTGCGTTTGGAGATAACCATCTTTCACTCTTTTGCAGCAACCTACTCTGTCAGATATGACCATGTATGAAATGAATTTTTCTCTGTTGGTGGAGGACACATTAAAGAACATCGTTTTGGCTGAGTACAGGCAGATAATAGTGGAGGTTAGGCGCAATCTGTCCCTTCTGCAGCCCAAACCTATTTTGAATTTGTACTCTAACGTATCATTCACCTTATTCTCTGTTTGTGTCTTTGATGACCTGAATGCAGCTGTTGATGGTGGTGTCAATTTTGCTGGAAAGAAACCCAGAGCTGGAGTTTCAGGAGCCGGTGGATTTAGACCAGTTGGTTAAGGATGCCTTTGCTGACTTTCAGAAAGACCGCAGCAGACTGGAGGGCTCTGAGAAAAAGGTGAGGGTACTGTAAGTTTAACATGTGAAAGCTTTCAAATCTTTTATGCAAGTCTGCATTCTTTTGATCAAAAGTATAGTTAAAACAATGATATTGGGAATTATTATTGTCAAATATTATTACAGATGAACAGTTTTCTGTTTTCTTTTCAATATTTGTTAACAATTATGTAATTGTCTTTGAATTATATTATATCATAAATGCGATTAATGAATCAATCAGCATTTCATGTAATGAATAGACAGAGAGCCCTCATGTAATGTACTTTAAAGCGCAGCAGCCAGTATGAATTTGAATGGTAGGTACACTTGCATTAGTATTTTGTGGTGATGTTACTAAGATAAATAAAATCCACAGGATAGCATGGAGGCCTTCTACAACACACCAGCCCTGGGGAAACAAGGCACGTCCAGTTACCTGACCAAGGCAGTAATGATCCAGCTGCTACAGGGAGAGGTGAAGCCCAGTAAAGATGACCCGTGTTCTGTCAGCTAAAGCACTTAGACTGCCATACACACACAGTCTCGCTAACATGGGATTGTTTTTTGTTTTTGTCTGGTATATATGATAAATTCTAATAAATAATTTAAGAACCTTGAAAGTTATGCCCACATTAAAAAAAATGTTTGCCTCCTTATTGTATAGGAACCATCTTGAAAAGATTTATTTTCATCAGGTCCTTTATCAATACCAGCACACAACTTGGCCTTGTCAAGAGAACCACATGCCTTTTTGCAAACTATTAAGTTAGGATCAAAATATCTTCACATTAAATTAACTGCATGTAACTGCATTATTTCAGGATGTGGTTTCTATAGTGACGTAGATGTTGTGGGTTGTGAACTTAAAAGTGAAGATAGAAGCTGTTTTGCAACTGTTTTTGTTAAATAATGTAGTATATTCTGAAAAAAAAATGTATACATATATAGTATACAAATGTATTTGAACTTAATGTAGTTTGTTTTTCATTTTGAACATGTTGTCAGTTAACTTCAGTGTATGACAGCTACTTGACGTATGATGGCACTTGCTTTTATGTATGTTTGAATAGTAATATTAAAATTGTTCGAGTGTGCCAGTTTCCTCATAATAAGAACAGTATTTTTAGTCCTTTACTACTGAAGAAAAATATATATTAAAAAACAAACTCCCCATGTTTTAACTTAATTGAAATTTTTGGTCCTTTTTTCTCGGTCAACTGCATTGTCAAATATTTAGTTAACGTTAACATAAAAGATGCTTGTGTCACAGTTATTAGGGTTCATCGCAGAAGAAAAGCCCAGCAGAAATCTTTTTTTATCCGAATGAGTGGGTGTGTGGACCAAGATCCTTGTTTATCATGCTGACCGCTGCCATCAGCCTCCGCTTAGTGCATGTCAGAGTAATCGGAGGTCTCGACAGTTCTCCTGAGAAATGAGTCCCAAACTTGCAATATATTGAACACAGAGACCATACAGAGAGACTGAAGAATCTGTATCTGCCCCTGAGGCCAAACACAAGCTTTAAATGGATGGAAACAAGATTCCATACTGGTGATTGGTGCTGAACAAAGCTACATTAAAATCTATCATACAGCTGCAGGTGGCTTGTTTTTGTGGATTTGGTCTGTCCATTAAAAAAAAATGTTGACATTTTTGAAAAATGTAATACACTTCCTTTAGTCTTGCTGCATTTTGTCTTATTTGTGTTAATAATCCATGCACCATTACACCCAATGGTACCTGTCCAAATGAATGTACACTTTAGCATGGCTATTTCATAAATCAAGCTATCCTCTTGAGAAAAGCAATAAAACTTTTTTAAATCCCTCATAAAAGTTAACAGGCCCTTTAAAGTCACAGTGTGTGTGTGTGTGTGCACTTTGCAGCTAAAGTGCTTATTGGGTGGTCTGACAGGTCTTTTCATTGTTCTTAGTCTGTATGAGGGTCACCTTTAGGTAGGTGACATGAGTGAAAAGGACTTGGTAATAATGCTTAATCTTTGCATCACATTGACATCCCTTGTGCAAGCATTAAAAACTCTTAAGTATCTAATGAAAACTACAGACTGCATATTAAGGGCTCCATACGGCAATTTGTACAAATTTTACGAGGTGGCTATTCGTACGAATTTATACGACCTCACTCGAAAGAATTTGTAAGTTTTTTTTTTTTACCCCTGACCCCGCCCCTAAACCTAACCTTCACTGGGGTTTAGACGAATCGTAAGAATTCCTACGAATCAACCATATTTTACTCACTCGTACGAATTCATACAAAGTGGTCATGAGAGCATTCACACAACGTGATTTTGCTTTGAAAGGGTTTGTTTAGCGTGTTTAGTAAACCAATGGAAAAGTAGTGCGTTGGAATATAAAAATATGCGTTCTGTGTTTGCGTGGTTCTTCAACTAGGCACTTTTGGCCTTGTGAACTTGAAGGGGGAAAACGTGTTCGAATCAAAATTGTCACAGTCTAACAGTTAAATATAAATAGTCTATGATACATAAGAGACCGCATATTTTTTGACATATTTTTCTGATCCTCACTAAACAAATGTCATTTCCATCACATGTAAATATTTGATTATTATTTAAAAATATGATATACTTCATTTCTTAATATTCTATTTTGTAATTATCATAGATTTGGGAATTAAGTAAATTCATTAAGTAAAGTCATGAGGCCCAAACACAAAAGCTACATCCACCACAACCTGAAATATAATGTTGGATTGGTTAGATACATTTCTGAAATGACTGGGTGTTGAGGAAATGACAATGAATGGCCGTCCATGTAGAAAAAAGAAGACATGTATTTGAAACTTTCTGAAGCAGACAATTCCATTTAACAAATCATTAGTCTCATTAGTCTTTTGTCTGAATGATTCCATAACAAGATAAACAGTTACAGTTTTACTGTAAACAACTTTATCCACAAATAATCACATGAATAATGTAAATTACGCATAAATTGTGATTGTAAAATTGTAACATTCTAATTGGTTAGATGAACACTGTTTTGAATTTTGGAATACTTAAAACTTTAGTCATGTCAGTGTATTCTTACATGAACTATAAAGCATCTTGAGCATGCACACATTATGTGTGAGTGAGTCTGGTATTGTAAAATTACAGTTGGTCTCTTAGAGCATGAGGGCTGTGCGTGCATGAGTGAGTGAGTGAGAGAGAGATAGAGAGAGAGAAAGGGAAAGAGGGAGAGAGAGGGGGGAAATAGGGAAAGAGACAGAGAGGGGGAGAGAGAGAGACAGAGGGGGGAAAGCACGAAGGTTTGTCCAGAGAGTAATTATGGTGACCAGACAGAGGGTATGTTGGTGAGAGAGGTAATGTGCATGAAAGTAATATAGTGTGTGTAAGAGAGAGAGGGAGGGTATGTGTGAGAGGGAGAGAGAGAGATCCTCTTTTAGTCTGACCCTATAGGACTGACACCTTTCTACAGTTGACTTCCACGGCATCTTAAAAATAGATGAAAAGGCATTTCAACAAATATATATTTGAATAAATACATTAGCATTGTACATTTCAATAAATAAAATATACATATGTAGCCACACAATATATGAATTGCACCTTGTAAGCATAAATGTCATTTCCACCTCACATTTGTCATTTCCACCCAAGAAGGTAATGTGTTTGAAATGGTGTAAATGACGGTCGTATCGGTTACCTAACGTAACCTCGGTTCTCTCAAGAAGAGGGAATGAGTATTGCGTAAGTTAGCTTACGCCATGGGAAAGATTCATATTTTCGAGATATTGAAGCCAAAAAATTATCCTAATTATAATCCTAAAATTGTATTATTCATTGTCAACGCAGTGCAGCAGCCAGCAGATCTAGAGCAGGCTGTCTAGCATGCTCATAGGCTGCTCTGCAGGAACTGCAGCAGTCAACCACTAAAGGCCAATTTATACTTCTGCGTAGGGTGCGCGCAGTAGGTACGGCGTAGCATACGCACAGACGCGTCCCATGCCGCGTACCCTTCGCCGTCGCCTGACGCGCACCTCTTCAAAAATGTAACTACACGTCGCGACGACGCGGACCGCAAGATCTGTGATTGGTCGGCTTGGTAGCATTGCATTTCCTCCTACGCATTTCCACCACTGTCTATGATTTCCACACGTACCATCTCCTCCGACATCTTCTCTCGTTTCTGCCTTTCAGTTTTAGTAATTTCACTAAAGTGAACTGTTTTTCCACCTCAATAAGCTCCAACTCCAACATGATCAGCTCTCTTTCAGTCGCTATTGCTTGTAGTAACCTAGCTGCGAGGAATCTAAACACAGTGGAACATTAAAACCCTCCGCCGCCAACTAGCGTTTCGGAGCAGTACTGCAGAGCAACCAAGACCTGAACGCAGAAGTATAAATGCTCACAACGGCGTCGCCTACATGCGTAGCCAACGCCGTACACTACGGCGTACCCTCGACGCAGAAGTATAAATTGGCCTTAAGCCTGACGTGACGTCACGTCCAATGAAGGGCGCTCTCGCGCCTTCACAGCTTTCATAGCACGACAGTGTAGGTGTGGCTTAGTGTAAATAAGCAGGGCTCAGAGGCTGTTTCTCTGGTTTTCATCGACTGAAGCGAAGTCGCTTATGACGCAAGCACAGCAGGTACCCGTTCCCTCCTCTAGAGAGTACCAAGGTTACGTTAGGTAACCGATACGTTCTCTTACGAGAGGTTCTGTCATATTGCGTATAGTTATAAAAGCTATGGGAACCCTTTGTCAAAGCTAAGTATGCGCCAAGCATCCACTCATGAGTCCCAGGGTTTCCCAGGGAACCCAGATCAGTGGAAAAATAAAGGTGGCCAGCAAACGCGGGCCAGCACTTGTACATAAGCACTCAGGGAATACAGAACGGAGCCCACCGGTCTATATAAGCATATAGCTCATACCCAATAGTGCAGCTCAACCAGAAGAGCTTGGACACATGAGAGTAGCCTGCGCACGATCATATCTGGACAGAACGTACATCTCACTTATACTGACGGAAGTTTTGCTTGCAGAGCGGGAACTTCTTGGTTATAAAACCTGACAAAGGTGGACAGGGAGGCCCAGCCCGCCGCCACACATATGTAGTGAGTAGAAATTCCGCTGGACCATGCCCACGATGAGGTCATACCTCTAGTGGAATGAGCCCTGATGTAGAGTAAACCCTTAACGCCCTGACTGGGTAGAGGAGATTAACAATGCTCTCGCTATTGGATGATGGCAGAGCCCATAGAGAAATGACCTGCGCTCTGAAAAGAGTGCCAATCACTTTAGAAACATAGCCAAGTCTAGGTTTGAGGATGACTTTGGAGTCATTTGGCCCGAAATCAAGGCAAGCAGCGCTGACTGACAGCGCGTGTAAGTCCCCCACACTTATGACTGATGACAGAGTTGTCAGAAAAACGTTTTTGAGTGCTAGGTACTTTAACTCCACGGAATCTAGTGGTTCAAAGTGAAAAGCTTTCAGGGCCTCGAGGACCAACGAAAGATCCCACATAGGAATCGACGGGGGGCACGGAGGGTTCATCCTTCTGGCTCCTTTAAGGAAGCAGATGACAAGCTCATTTTTGCTTAGTGACCGGCCACACGTCGACTCTGCGAATGCTGCAACGGCCGCCACGTAGACTTTAAGCGTGGATGGGGACCTTCCCTTATCCAACAGCTCTTGTAGAAAACTGAAACAACCACGAGACCCCACATGTCCATGGGTCCAGATTTTTGTCGCTGCACCGTTTGGAGAACACAGACCATTTAGACACATAAAGCTTTCTGGTAGAGGGAGCTCTGGTAGAGAGAGCACTTGACTGCGTAATCGTGTTCATCACTCCTTCTGGCAGGGCAACAGGTACCCATTGATCAACCATGTGTGCAGAGACCAGTGCTCTGGATGGGGATGCCAGATCGAGGCACGAGCTTGAGAGAGGAGATCTGTTCTCACCGGAATCGGCCATGGGGCTGTTGTGACAGCCACGTCAGCTCTGGGAACCAAATCTGATTCTCCCAACGCGGGGCTATAAGGAGCACAGAGTGGCGCGTTTCCCTGATCCCCTTGATCACCTGTGGTAACAGAGAGATCGGAAGCAAGGCATAAAGCAGGTGGCTGGGCCAGATTTGGGCCAGCACGTCCTCGTTCTTTGACTTTGACCTCCGCTTTGCCAAACAGGCGCCATCATTTCTGGACTGTTTGGGGGTGCAGGGACCATTCCCCTGGGGCAACGTTGTACCTGGATAATTTGTCTGGGCCGTCGTTCAGAGGAAGCGTGTTCTTGACCGCTATCATTTCCAGAAAGTTTATGTGAAGGAACTTCTCCTGGTCTGAGCACTGGCCAGTCTGCCCTCGAAGAGATCGCCCTAACCTGAGTTGGACGCATCTGTTGAGATGACCTTTCGATATGAGACAGCTCCCATCATAACTCCCTGCTGATACCAATTGGCCGCTAACCAGGAATGCAAAGCTGTAATGCAGGTCTGAGTCACTCTGATTCATTTACAGCCAGAGGCCCAAACTCCGCAAAATAACTGCTGTAAAAGCCTGACTCGCTCAGAGAAGGCGGTACCAACTCTATGGCCCCTTTGCACAGCAGCTTCGCTATCTTTGCGCGGATTAGATGTGCTACTTCCATATTCACAGTTGTTGCGGTCTGTGCTTGAAAGCGTGGAGGACGGCGAGTGAACTGTAGTGAATAGCCCTGCCTTATTGTGCTCAGCACCCATTCTGAAACTCCTGGGATGGCTTCCCATGCTTTTATATGTGTAGCTAGGGGGTGAATGGTCTTCGGGTTCTGATCGCTATACTCTGCGGGCTCGAGAAACTGAACCGGAGGTCTGGTGCTTTAAAGCGGTTAAGCCGTGACCAATTGCTGTGAATGGGGAGCGTGCTTTTACCACTGTGATGTGCGAGCAGAGCCTTGGGCAAAGTGTCAAAGTATTTGCGCGGGCACGAGACTTACATATAAATTTGACGCCCTGATCGTTTTGGAAGCATGCGCATGTAAAATTCATCTTTTATTCTAAAAAAAATCTATTTACTTACAAACACAATTGATGTTACACCATGTTTGGAAATGACATACAATAAAAATATTTTCATTTCAAGCACTATTTACCTTGAGTTTTCTATTCCAAGTCGGTGAATAAATTTAAAATCTCCTCCATGTCAGACATGTACTGTGATGTCATTGTTAATCTCCATAGAAACTAGCCAAACAATCTTTTAAAGCGTTGGAACAGTGGTGGAACCCTATGGTAAAAACTCTGTAATGGCAGAGCCATCGCCGACGACTGACGACGTATCGGGTTCATGAAGGGTTGTTCCATTTCGTGAGGGAATATTTCAACCCCTTTGCCCTTGTAACTCTGTTAAGGGCCAAGGGGTACACTCGAAAACAAGGGGTAGGGCCAAGGGGTGAATTGGGATCAAGCCTAAAATACTTTTCCATTGATCACTTGAGCAAATGTCACCAAACCAACCCTCACCAATCTGATAGTACGCCTCCAGTGATTTCCAGGCTCGGAATTGCTCACATGTGTAAAAACTCATTGCCAATACCAGATAAAGTTAACATTACACATCAGTGCTTCCTTCATTACTGCATACGGATCCACACCATTTATGAATGAAATTTTCGCATTGTACCTCTCTGTCTTGTTTTAATTGTCTCTTTATAATCTATTTCACTTTGTCTCTTCATGATTTGCATAACATTATAAACAGAAATAAATATTTGTTTGTAAAACGACATTCTCTGATAAAACTTTGTAAACACAGCAGCTTGTGCCCTCAAAGATGGCGTCTCCAGGGAGGTCACGTGACATTAATTTGCCTGTGGGAACTATCACATTGTGTCTGGACATATTTTATATTTTATATCAGAATATTATATTACTGTTAAGCCTATATGGATTAAAATATGCCGAACTATATCATAGCTACATAGTCTCCTGTATCATAGCTACATGAATGATCTTTGTAGCAAAAAGCCTGCGTGAAAATCTGTTCGTTTTTCAGTGAGATATGATTACTTAAATGCGCTATGATTACTTAAATATCTCCTGCCATACAGATTACACTGAGTAGAGCGAATGACCGGTTTAAGATGGCGACTCCACGGCTCTTCCGTGCCAAGGCAGTAGTGGTCGAACGGCATTTCAGAATGTTTGTAAACAAGAGGCACCGCGATACTTCCGGGTGGCAGAACGCAAGCGGCTTCTACTGACTAACTGAAGAGATCCAGCTGGCTACTGTAAAAACAGTTACATAGTTAAACACATTGTTGTTGATCAAATTTTTAATCGATGATGAAAACGTCTTGTGTTTGGGGTTGCGCTGCCAGATTTACAGCAAAAGGTGTAGGGGTTTGAATCGATTTCTTATGGGTGAGGAGGTTATAGCGGGTGAACGTTGTGTCGTCAAAAGTAGGAAATCTTAATGATGTCCTAAATTATATGATTCATCCAATGTTTACATTTCTGCTGCCAACCCCTTCAACTCTGCCTCGTGTATTCTCAAAACGGTCCATCTACAAAATCATAGCAGAGCATTTATCTTCCGTCGGGACTATCATTCGAGACTAATATTAGTAAACTTTTTTTTTGAAGATCAGACTAATTGCCAGTCACTGCCTGAAGTAAAAGAGGGCTGCCCACACCATGAGACTCACGCAATTGTCACATTTTTTTTACACGCTCTCACGCCACACATCCATTTTCTCACGCAACTTACCGAAATGTATATTCCTCATATATACAGTAATATCGACCAATCAGTGTTTTTCAACCATGCGAACAGGATAATATAACAGCTGGAGAACAATTGTCACATAACATTTACCACAGGAAAGCCATTTAATGACCATGATAGGCTATATAGCACATTATTTTGGCAAGAAAAATGAGCTAGAGAGTATTTTACTAATTATGTGTAGGCCTACTATAGGCTATTACATATTTATTATATTTTTTACTTATGTCATTAAAAAGTTGTTATTGTAATAAAAAATGCATTATATTTAATTTGTAAAAAATTATTACATTTTTACATTTGACGGTGGATCTCCCTTCCAAGCAATTTACTGGCGTTGCTATAGGAACACTTCGGCTTTTGCAACCCGGAAGAACGTCTATTACAGTTGTGACGTCTTGGTAAATTGTCGTTATGGTCACCACAACGGATCTCTCGGTTGCCTAGGTAACTTCATATAACTCCGCCGCTGCTGTAGACTGTGCTAATAAATATTGGTAAAACAATATAACTATTGCATTGCGAATGAAAGGGTAGTTTGATTTCAGACATTATTCTCTCAACAGACACTTACATTGATAGTCTGGCGTTATAATTGATTTGATTTTGGTGTACTTGTTTTTAATGGCATGCTAAAAGTTACCGTTGACTCGCACTAGCCTAGCACCGACAAACAATGCAACTGGGACGACTGGATGAATTTTTTTTTAAACTGTCTCCACTGATAAATAACACTAAGGCTCACTTGGAAATGAGGCTGATGTCCAAAATTCCAACCACCCCTTTAATCCATGGCCACCAAGAATCCTGCTATATAGTCGCAAACCCTTCTTATATCCTCATGAGATGGTCTTTATATGGACTCTTTTATAAACCATTTTCCATTCTTCCTGGCTATTGTCTAGAAGGGGAAAGGCATTTCAGAGAAACTAAGAATTTCCAAGTCGACACAACTGTTCATAACATGACATTGTTTGTTAATCTCAAACCGTATCAGTCTTAATCACTGTCTTGTGAGAAAATGCATGATGTAATGAAAACAGGAAAAGAATAAGATTATAAATACAGAAACTACAACTCAGCTGACAAGACTCAGCTGACAAGACTTTTGAAATGTGTTTTCCCCCTAAACTAGGTACTTTTTCAAACATTATTGCACAATGGGTTTAAAACAGCAAGAAAGATGCTTCTTTATAAGTTATTTACACATGTTAACAGCCTGAAGACCCTTTATATGCTGAAATGGTTCTTTGTGTTAGAGTTCTTTATTCCTGCTTTTTTGTTTTTCAAATATGTAACTGTCAAAGCCTCATTACTGATTTTCTGATTTTTTCTATACAACTACAGCTACTACACACTCTCAACAGATAAATTATTTTAATTCTTAAATTGTCTATAAATTATAATTTTAAGAATTGTACCAATCATTTCCTAACAGTATGTTTTTCTCTCTTTTTTTAGTTTAATAAACATGTAAGTGTGAGCAGCTCTGTACAGTTAAGGATAATCTCACTGAAGTTCTCACAAAGAAGCCTAAGAAACAGAGATATGGAATTTATGATTTTTTTAATTATGACTTTATGGCTAAACGTACCCAAAAGAATATCACTTTTTCCCTCTAACATGGTAAAGTGCTCATATTGTCCATTTTTGCTCATTTTGGCCTTCATGAACATCATTGTTTTTACATAATCAAATGTGAGAGACATAATGTAACTCTATTAAAATAGCTACTCTATTTCCACTACCATGCTACGTAACATACTGTACAAAATATTTTTCTGTCATAAATAAAACAGTGTATTGGAGTACATTTTACATTAAAATAATATTTCAGTCTTTCACATTTCATGTTTGATTCAAATTGTTACTTGCTTGTTTCAAAGTATTCAAAGTATGTAATTTTTCTTCTTCTTCAGTGTACTATTCTGCTAGGCAAGCTTCATTCGAATGCATTTTTAAAAGGTCCTTATATCATGGTCCAATTTGTATTTCAATTAAAAAATGATTCTTTAGTCCATATTCAGATATCAGATTATACAAGTGAGCTGTTCACAACTCTTGAATGACCCTCCATTGAGTGTTGTGAGTCTTTAGTTTTGGGCTCCACTGGAGATTTTTGTCGATGTAAACTTTTTGAGGAAAAAGCATAGAGGAATGGATTCACACAACTGTTGATGAATGTAAGACATCCAGCAATGCCACTGACAGGGGATAGAACTGGCTCTGATTTTAAAAATTGCGCAACAATTTCTTCTAATTTTATTATGTGGTGTGGAGCCCAACAAATGAAGAAAATGACGATGATCCGGGTCACCAGTTTGGCTGGTCGGTATCTGTGTCTGAACGCTCTCTGTGAGGCCATTTTGTGTAAGCAATAATATGAAGTCAACATGACTGTCAAAGGAAGAAAAAATCCAAGCAGTGACTCCATCACAGCCACAATAAGTCTTGCGTCTGAATCCAGGTTTCTTTCACACTCCATTTTGGATTCACTTAGAATGATGTCTTGTGTAAGAACACCAGGACAAGAGAAAAGCAGTGAAAGAGCCCAGACACTGAACAACAGCACTCTCTCTCTTCTTCTGCCTATTCTGGACCACAACTGTGGATGCCGAATCCGTAAACAACGATATAAACTCATCATAGTTACTGTTATCAAACCTGAGTACATACTGCAGTAGACGAGTGCTGTGAAAAGCTTGCAGGTTGATTGGTTAATGCTGTTTAGTTCACTGTAAATCCACACAGGCAGGGTTATCAAACACAAGATGTCCGCAGCTGCCAGATTCAGCATCAGATGAACTGTAAAATTGTCCTTTTTGAAATGCTGAACTATTAAAAGTATTACCGCAATATTACCAGGAACTCCAATCATGAAGCAGAGACCCATCAGAGCACTGCTGACCAGGTTTTCTGTTTTCCAGCTGGTGGAGTTTAAACTGGAACTGCTGTGGTTCTGCATGACACCGATGCAATAGTGATGATGTGTTAGTGTTAAGACAATCTCCTTACAGATCACTATACTTGTAACTTATTTCCTCTTGCTGACAAACACACCCACAGAGTTCTCATGATTTTTTTTTTTTTACATTTTGCATAATCTCTGATCTAGTGTCCGTTTTGCTTTGATCAAATAATACTTGAAACATGTTTGCTAAAATCAAAAATTGCTAAAACACTTTATTATCTCTGTTGATAATGTTTTTTTGTAATACATATTATAAGGTCGTACATAAAATATTAGGTAACACTTTACTTGAGGGGTAAGACTGGCTTGACACCTTTATAACCACAACTTGATAAATGTCTTGAATATGAAGTAGGGTTTATGTATGTTTATGACAACTGTCATTAAGTGTCTTTTGCTCAATAATGACATTTTAAACATTGTTTGAGATGTCTTTGTTATGACATCTTGACATACACCATAACATCATAACCTAGTGTCATTGTCATGACAACTTGACATTAAATTAAGTTAAACTGTCATGTGTTTTGCTTTGACATTGGCTGTCATGAGGCATTATAACTGTGTGATGAAAAGTTTTCATGATTAGATTTACATTGTAGGATGGGCTCATATCATAGACCAGAATATAACCAAGACCCCAACACTCAAAACCACAGAAAGCAACCAAAAGGCAAATGTAAAAATCAAGTTAATAAAGTCATTTAGAACTTCTGGTATGTTTGAGCTGTGATTTGTATATTTTTAGACTCGTCTTTTAAATATTGCCTCATTTTGAATTCAAGCCATGATCTCCAACTTATTTTGATTAAATGGTCAGATGGGATGTGGTCCACTCACACTTCCCAGACTGTCTAATGCTTAGTAAGATATGGTGAAATAGCTGGTTCTTGCGAAAATTCATTGTAAAAGACTACTTGCAAAGTGGGTTGCCAAATTAGCAGTGGTTGTGTCATGTGACACTGATATGTGAGTAATTCTAAGCAACATTGGGCAATAAACCATTAGTCACAAGCTTCCCATTTCCTAAGGTCCATTAAAATAATTCTGTCAGGACAGTTGGTTTTTTGAAGCCTTCATGTGTGAATCTCTACAAGTGAATCTAACGCCACACTGTGGTCTGTACCCGGGGCATTGACTTAATTTTAGTACAAACAGGGAATTTTTCAGTGAAAAAACTGCAATATATCTCAAAAAAGTTAGCATAAAAAACATAGCCTATACAGAAAACACTGAATCACACTATTTGAATGCTGAGCAAATAATCTCTCTGGTTGCAGAATCAGCAGAATTCTGCTTCTGCTTGTTGGTTGGAGATATGATTGCTTGGAGATTGCGAGTAAGGACCTATCAGCCTGCGCCCTCTAATGTTTTATGACTGAACTACATATTGTAATCATGACAACTCTCTAAATAGTTTTAACATTTTGATGAATATGGCAAAGTTAATGTAGCTATTTTGGATTTGGCGGACTAGATCTGTTACGATGCTGCTGTTGATTATTGACTTGTTATTGCCAATACATACACAGACACACTGCCGTAAGCATGTAAAATATGCTGCTGCTGCATGAAGATATACATAATTCGTCCAACACAAGAAGAATGACACAATACAAGCCAAAACATTTGCATGTAAAACATGCTGCTGCATTAATAGACATTCATAAATCCTCACAGAGTTGATAGAAAGGCAATAGAACTCAACACAAGAGGATCTATTGCCGAGACATATATCCCTGCTGCACAGAAGAATCGTGAGAACCTCATGTTTGCTATCTACTTGTGCTTGGGCCTGTTTTGCCAAATGGCTTAACTCTAGTGGCTTGATTTATCTGTGTCTGGGCTAGCAAAGCCCAGAGTTATTTACTAGTGACTGAAGTGAATCTAGTGCCATACTCTCAGGTGTGATTAACTATTGACCTAATCCAGCTCTTTGCGCCTGAGCCAAAATGGCTCAAACTAATGCGCACTATGTAACTTTAACAAATGATACCACATTGCAAGCTGATAGAGATGGAGAAAATAACCCCCAACAACCCCACAACAACAAACTATTTGTTCGTTGGCCAGAGGAGAGAACTACAGGTAGCACTTTACTTGTGTACATAAGACTGGCATGACACCTTCATGACATGACATGACATATGTCTTGAATAGGGTTATGCATGTTTATGATAACTGTCATTATTTGTCTTTCGCTCAATAATGACATTTTGAATGCAAATATGACATTGTTTAAGATGTCTTTGTTATGACATCTTGACATAAACCAATATACATCATAACCTGACACGTCAGTGTCTTTGTCGTGACAACTTGACATTAAATTAAGTTAAACTGTCATGTGGTTTGCTTTGACATTGGCTGTCATGAGGCCATTATAACTGTGTCATAAATATTTTTCGTGACCTCAACTACAGTGGTACTAATTGAATTTGTCATTAAAAAGTTATAATGGCTTCATGACAGCCAATGTCAAAACCAACCATCTGACAGTTTAATATAATGTTAACCAATAAAGCTAAGTTTGGTTTCTTAAGTTTGATAATTAATCTGCTATGTCATGTTTATGACGTATTGATGTATATGATGTATGGTTTATGTCAAGTTGTCATAACAAAGACATCTCGAACAATGTCATATTTGCAGTAAAAATGTCACAATTGAGTGAATGACGCTTAATGACAGTTGTCTTAAACATGCATAAAACTTGTCATGTCATGATTATGAAGGTGTCATGTTAGTCTTATGCACACCCCTCCAAGTAAAGTGTTACTAAACTGCAACTGTGGAAATGCAAACCACAGGGTTGCATGCAAACCTACAAATTCTACAGGATCTTTAAAAATAAAATAAATAAAAATACAATTCACATATGTTTGGCTGTAACCTCGCAGCAAAGTTTTCTTCCGCTGTTGGTGTTGTTATTATTCCTGCGGTGTCATGAGTCATGACAATAATGGTCTCATATATCTAAAGCCATTTTGTACTTTGTTCTGGTTAAGAACATCTGATAAATACTAAATGAAAATATTCAGATGCCCCGTATATTCATAATACTTTTTTTTTTCTTTTTCCTTTTTTGTCCCTTTGGAAGTAAAACCTTTTTTTGTATCTTGACAGGAACTTTAAAGGGCAAGCTGCTTTTGATTCAACTACTTAAAGGAAACAGAGCAAGAATCAAGACATCCGCTTGCTGAAAAAAGTTCCCTCCCTTTTCCTGTGCCAGAAATGACATGTTGAGAGAGATAGATAGGTAATGTCATATTACTATGATTACAAATGATCTCTTGCCATGCATTTTCTCCAAACAGTTAGCATATGCTTTCTATATGCAGAGACTTGCAGGAACAAGCAGACTTCCAGATAACAAGCTATGAAAAACAATTATTTGGTCCTTCTATTTGCACTGATGTGGACTTCCTTGTAAAATGTCAACAGTGTATTTTGTTTTAGCCACATTCATTTTCTGACAGTAATATATTGTGACATTTTATAGAACGTCTTCAAGTATCAAGCTTGTTTTGCGTTGTATGGTAACTTATCTTGTTATCTTTGTCTAGCAGGTTTGGGACCCTTTGTGCAGCAAGAGACTGGTTTGGTAAGTGAATAGAGACAGTTACAGTTTAAAGAAAAACAACTGCATATCTTTGCTGCCATCTAGTGGATGCTAATCACATTAGTTATGCTAACTGACTGTGGTCCACTTAAAATGTTTTAAGTGATGTCCACAATGACATGAGATGGAGACTAAAGTCATATCAGTGGCTTACAAATCCAAAAGCCATGGAGATCAAAATGGGCAAACCACTTCAATTTATCCTGGTGCTAACCATCCTATAATTAGACACCATTTGTTGCAAAATAAATGGGTAACAAATATGCCTTCAAATATAGTATTTTTACATAATCACAAACATTTAATTTTGCCTGATGTCACATCCACATCGGTATAGGTCATTAGCCATTAAAAATGACTTTGAGCAGTGAAGTAAGAATTAGAGGTAGTAGAAAATATAAATATATTCTATTGTTATTCTTTTATATAATGAGGATAATATTTTTTTTTATTTATAATGCTATGTTTATTGTTATTATCTGTATCATATTGTTGTGTTGCATTGGCAAATACTGTCACATTCAGTTTTATAGTTCAAGAGATTATAAATGAAAGCTTCCAGTTTATTAAGGAAAAGTTTGGCTTATACTATGGAATACAACGGAACAAATTTCTGCCAAGATAGGTTATTTCGAATAGGTTGCGTTCACCTGAGAAGGTTGCTATAGCAACAGCTGCCACTGTCTTCCTCGGGATCAGTATCAGATGTCACATCGAAAGGGATGCAAAACAATCATGATTTATTGTTTTTTTTTTAGCTTACAAAGGTTCTCTATAGTTCTAAACTAATTTGTAAACTAATCCAAACCATGGTATAATTTAAAGTAATAAGCTACTGCTATAAATTGAAAATACTTACTGTAGTATTTCAGTGGGATATGCACCATGTTTGCGCTGATTCTTTCATTTGGTTAGAATCAGTGTTGTCAAACTTGATCCATATAGTTCTGTATGATTTTCTTTCTTTTGTGGAACACAGGATTCTGTGAATATTACATGATTACACATCTTTGTGTTAACCTTTCTGACACACTCTGTGTTAAACTTACAAGACAGACAGTGAATGATTTTGTTTAAGAATCTTATAGGCCTAAATGTATGAGGTGGGAAGGTGGGCCTTTTACCTCACACGTGGCAAAAGTCACAGTATTTATACAAATACTTTAGTTAAAATTATATGTTTGTAATAATGTCTAAGTTAATACTTGTTCAAAACAATCACTTTAGCAAACTTTGCTCGATTTTCTGTTTATTTTGATAATTAAAGAATGATTTTTTTGTACAATAAATATACTGTCATTAAAATAGTTTTTTTATTTCATATATTTAGTTATTTATTTTTATTTTATTGTTTCCTTCTTGTTAGTTGTACTTGACACTATTTTGATTCTCGAATTGTTATCTCTTGATTTTG